GCCATGCCTGTATCTTTTCCCCAAAAAGTCCCATGATCTTGGTGAAAAAATACACTTCCTTATCACTTTGCAGCATTTAACATGCATCTAAACTCAGCACTCTCACCCATTATTTTTAGAAGAGCTGTGGTTCAGTGTTGTTACATGTTGACTGTTTTAAATTTACTGAATGTGGTTCTTTGCAAACATTTCTCTGCCCTCACAAGGGATAGGGAAATGCCCATGAATTCAAAAACACTCAGAGGGCTCTTATAAAAGCCGGGATGCCAATACCACAGAGAGTAAGAAGAGTTGAGAGGAGCACCTCTGCAGGTCCTCTATGTTTCCCCTTTATTTCTGCCCCTTCCCCGCTTGCAGCAAGTGGAGGGGAGCCCTCAATCAGCAGATCAAACACACTTGCACTTGTGCCAGACATTGAAGGAGGACAAGACAAAGTAGGAGAGAAAAAGCTCTTTAAACAACCACAATGTGTTTGAGCAGGCAGACCAAAACATCACAGTGGATACCAGTGTTAGAAAGCTCATTTTTTAAAGGTGGCATCACAGGCTGGTCTTCCTCTGTGAGCAAACATTTGCAGCACAGCTCTGCAGCATCTTCTGAGGTGTTGGTGCTACAACAGCCACATTTGTACTTGTGGAAGGAGGACTGACTGCCATACAAAGAAGGATATGGAAAAGAAAAAATTTTGGCTGCAAGTGCTTGATTGTGCAGCCCAGTAAATTAAAAATATACAGCTTTTTTTTTTTTTTCTGTAACTATTTGCAAAGCAGTAATAAATATTCAGACCTGGTCCTGCATTGGTATATAAAGGATGTACTAAGTAGGAATGCCTAGCACTTGTTACATGAAACATTGTAATTTGCCTTGTTCTGTATAAGCAACAGCTATGCTGATTATTCTGAAAAATTATTGAGAGAATAAATAATACTACATAATCCTGCTGTGGGTGGTTGAGCAATGCAGTTAGTATTTTTCTTCTTTGTGAAAATCGAAATTAAAAGTTAGCGGTTGCAGGCCAGTCAAAGTGATTTTTTTTTTCTTTTTGGAACTCTAGAAGTTCTTCCTGCTTCTTGAAAAGTAGCGTATTCCCTAGTCTTAGAAAGCTAAACTCTCTTCCTTCACATTTATGTCATAGCTAACCCAGGGTACAGCAGAGAGAGACATATTTGATTGCACTGTTCAGACTGCTTATGTTTTGCAAACAGGGTACCAAACATATGGAAAAATAGATTAGTTCTGTGTAGGCTATCTATCCTCCATGCATTTAAATAAGAATATTATTAACTTCAAGAATAAAAGTTGCCACCACACATAACATTAAAAAGAAATTGGTATGTAGATTGGTATGTAGTACAACCAGATTCCAAGCCCAGTATGGATAAAACTTATTAATTTTGATATGTACCAAAATGCCTTATGGACATAACTATCCATACAACACAGAAGTACAGTTATTAAATCATCTACACATTATTTCTGTCAATAAGAAGAATCTTAAGATCATTGTAAAGCCCAAAAAGAAGGCTAAGTCCTATGTGAGATATTTATTCTTCATTTTAAGGAAGGAAAATAATCCTTCCGTCCTTCCAAAACTGCTTCCCAAAGAGCTGAGCGAGAGAAAAAGGATTTTGTGATTATCCTTACATTACAACTGAAGGTGAAATAGTCATTAATGTTATTTGCCTTTCTGGCAAAAAGCTTTTTGCTTAAGTCAAAACACAAAAAACACTTTCCACCACAACCAACCAGTCAGCTATTCCTTTCAATGCCCCTTTGAGCTGTTTCCTTTTCTTACTGGATGGACATGAGTAGGACATAGCTGTGCTTTTGTGTACAAATATTCCTGCTGAACTTATTCTAAAAGAAAATGTACAGTCAGTTGGGAAAACACCAAACCAAACCAAACAACTGAGAAAACCACTCCAGACCATTAACTTTTAGAATTGCTGAAAAGAATATTGTCTTTGTGTGTTATGAATGAAAATATCAAACCATCTCCATATGCAATCTGTTGTCAGGTTTTTCTGCAGGCATTACAGCTTTTCTGGGTTATAGTCTTTCAAGCATTAAGTAAAAAATGCTGATATCATCTTCTTTTGTCAGAAAACTTCTTTCTGAACAGCAAGAACTTGTGAACAAGTGACTTTGATTCAGATACCAATGAAATACCTAAAAATAATGTCTGTATTCCTGAATGCTATCTTTGTTGACAAGTGGTGAGCCCCTATGCTTGCTTTTCAGTGTAATGGGTGAATGCTGCACAGCCTCCCTTGGCTTTCTCTGGATCTTTTGTATCTGTGCAGACTGGGGGGAGGCACCATTTCCATCTCATACCTTCCTGATAGTCCTTTCAGGGAGAGTTTTTCTTTCTAATTGGGTCACAAATATGTTCTTTTTTCTCTAAAGAAAGGGTTTCTCTCTTCCCTCTTCAGTCAGTGTGAGCATGGGAGACTGGCATCCAAAACCACATCCAGTAGTTTAACTGGTTTAGCTATGTACAGCCATCTCTGCACACACTTCAGGGCTACTCTAAACCCCTGTTCAGCTGGAGGCCTGGAACTGAGCCTGTGTAGGAACAGGCATTAAAGTCTTCTCTAGTGAATGACTGCACAGCTTGGAGTAGCAATTACTTCATTCTGGGAGAGTGTGAAAATCCCATGGAGCCACAGGAAATGTTGCATTGTTCAACTGGCCACACATACATGAACAATGGAGGCTGTTTCACAATGCCAGGTTTGCCAATTAAATAAATTCATTTAAAAAAACTTACAGTCTAGCATGTGGCATGAGACCACCGACAAATTCTGACAGTCACACCAACAATGATACATTATATTTCTGCCTAAGTATGTCCTTTGCACCTTCATGAACTAAGCTTTTGCTTTTCTTCTGTAACTATTTGCAAAGCAGTAATAAATACTCAGGCTCAGAAAAGAAGTACTTCTCATGCCTGCTACTTAATTACAATTTATAGACTCAAGACTAGATTGGTCTAAGATATATTTTTTCAAGTATTCTCTTCTTGTTTATAGTACGACAGTAGTACCTTATTGCACATTGTTTCTGAAAGACTTACTTCTACAAGTGTGGGAAATTATTTCATTTGGGGCACTTGACAGCTTTGAACCCTGGCAAAATGACTTTCCCCTTCCGATACAGATCATCCTGCAAACCTTTGTTCATCCTCTGCACCAGGAGCTTCTCGTAGAGCAGTGGGTGGTAGGCCCCTAAGGTGCAAGCTGCATCGTAGTAGAGTTCATGGTAGTGACACAGGTCGGTCTGCCGCACTGAAGGGATGTACTCGTACACGTGCACTTCATTACACATGGACATCATGATGAGGATACCTGCAACAAGAAGTGAAAACAAAAGTGAACACCAGCTTTCACTTTTCTCACAGAAATTTCCCTGCAGTCATCCAATCTATTTTTTCTTTCCTTCTTTTCTTTGCTGTCGCACACCTTAAGCATTCTGTAAAATTATTAAGTGAAGCAATCATTCCTTTTATTTGAGCAGCTTTCACTTGTCCCTCATACATAAAGATTGTGATCCCTGTAGAGTCAACAGGGTAGGATAACAGTCATAAAGGAAGAGTGAAAAGCCTGTAAAGGACTTGCATATCACCATCAGCCTCCTGAGTGAGAAGACTGCTCTTTTTCACCTCCCCCCCATTTACTCTGTGGACTGTCCACAAAACATTCCCCACAAGAATCCTTGAAACATCTCCACCTTATTGCAATGTTGGTCTTTCTTAGTCTGAAATTGAACCAATTCCACTTTTCCCCATCCACTTGCTTCTCTCTAAGCAGCAAGACTTGGCCAAACACATGCAGAAGGGCATATAAAGAAACATCATCCATGCAGTGGTGGCACAGAAGCCCACACCTTCAGACAACTCTCATGGAGAGGCACCAGAGACAGATTCCTACTTAAAGCAGTGCTGTCATAAGGAAAAGCCCCTCAACACTTCCTTGCTCAGCAAGGAGAAATCCACAAAATGCCAACCCATTTTTTTCTGCCATGTGCCAGTGGCATACTGTCATCAGCACCATCAACTGTGGTCTTTATAGCCTTAAAACAAGAGAAATATTGCTGTTGCAGCTGCACATTTTCAGATGGACTAATACCAGATAATGACCAACAACACTGCCTAAACTACAATACTTTCACATCAATCACAGCTCCTGGAAGCCTTTTCTGTTTCACAAAGCCATGCAAAAGGAAAGTGACATGAAGTAAGTTTGGATGCCATTTATTTTTTTAAGATTTCACTTAAAAAAAAAATTAGTGTAGGAAATGTATTGAGGCACTTGTAGCATTACTGGTATCCCTGTCTGTGGAATAGGCCTGTCAGCTCTCAGGGGAGGTAGCTGTATGACTGCTCACTTGGCAGATGAGAACTGATGTAACTGTTGTTTGGGGTTTTTTTCTGCTCAACAGCTTTTGCATCATCAAAGGTGTTTTGGGTAGATCTCAGAAGTGAAATGAATTAACATAAAAAATTATTTTGGTTTCTTAATTAAGCACAGCCATTTTCTGAAGTTTACTTTACAATTTGAGAATGCAGGGATTTCAATGGCTTGCTAATGAAAAGAACCCTATGTTCTCCCTATTGTGTATCATTAGATTATCAAAATGACTTTTCCCTGCCTGATGTGTAAATTAACTAAAAAAAAATTACTTCTGTGATCACATCTTTTATCATAAATTAAAGGTTCTGAAAATATTTTATAATTGTTCTACATCTTTACAATCTACAGAATCTATAGTGTTAGAAAAGCTAAGCATATCAATTCTGAAGTTCTCAAATTTGAGTGAACTTTAGCCTTAAGCAGCAAGAAACACATATTCATGGTGAAAAAATATTTAATCTCTATTTGAAAAAAAAGTACATGCTTAATAAACCAAGTTTCCTGGCATTGAAGGTGTTGTAGAGATGCTCTGAATCGTAACCTGCCAAGCAGCTGTATCTAGAATTATTTGGTTTTTTGTTGTTTTAGTTTTACAAATGCTTTCGTCAGCTTTTCCACTGCCAGCCTTCTTCCTCCACTGATGGAGAGCCCACCTACCATTCCAAGGTAACCGTTATCCAGCTGGATCAGAGGGTGGATGGTGGAAACGTGTGCAATAATGAACCACATCCAGAAACAGACAGTAAAATGACTTCTCTCCTGTGCCCAGAGACAACTTCAAAAGCTATACCACCAACATCTTAGAAAAACTGGCTCTGGTGGAAAAACAAGCCTCAACCAAAGTGTGTTCTGTTATTTCACTGCCACATTACCAAGGTAGCTCTACAAGTAATAAAGGAAGTTGCCATTTGTGGGATTGAAAAACTGTCAAGAACAAAAATTGTGACTCCTTAATAACACAAAATTAGCCATGTGAATCCAGATATGGCTCAACCATGACAAAATTTTAAGCAGTATCATTGACTTTGTTGTAAATTAGTTAATGGAGGACGTAGAAGTGGTAGAATTTTACCTTCTAGTCATCAGTGGTTCAGTGTCCTCCAGAATCAACCAAAAAGGCATGCAGGGATATCTAGTTTAGCTCCTTCATTTTCCTGCCTGGTTCCATCCAGACCATGTCTTGGGATTTCAGTCTAGGTTGCTCATAATTAACCATAGCTTCTATTTACGTTTTTGCTAATGCTGGACAATGATGTTTGGCAGGAGGAAAGACATTGACTTGGAAGACTATTTTTGAGTGGTAACCACTAAGTTATAGCACATTTTTGTGTTGAAGTCTGAAAGATGAGCTACAACAACTAGTAGAGATTACCACACACAGAACTATCCCTGTGCTAGAGGCTTATCTGTCCTGGTGGAACCAGGAGCACTCCTGACACTTCCAGGCCTTGTGTACATGTCAAATGCTCATACCCTAGTCTGGGCAAAAACAATGGTCAGTGCCAGGCTGTTCTTCCTTTAGCACCTCTAACACTACAGACCTCCAGCCCATGGGACCAACAGTGTGGTACAACCAGGACTTCCATCCAAACCATATGTGGGTGAGATGCAGGATAACACATGAACCTGAGGAGGTAGGGCCCTCTGCTTAGCTGGCAGAGCCCCCAGATTCTCCCTTGAAATGATCTGCTCCTGCTGTTCTGCGCTGCATTCAAAAAAAACCCAACAAAAACAACCCAAGAAAACAAACGGAGAAGGAAGAATTGGAAAAAAAAGGTTCTTTTTGGAAAGGAAATCTTTTTTGTACAAATACAGTCCTCTCTAAAATAGAGAAGAAATGGTTTAATTTCTCTCTCATGCCTTGGAGTATGTGAAACCCTCCACAGGGGACAGCCCTAGTGTTGTAGAGCCACTACTGCAAACTCAGTTTACAAAAAATATTAATTGAGCACCTTCAAAAGATTAATAGCAATTTAGACCACAAGGACATTTACATCAGTCCATGTACATATATTCAGGTTTTATTCTGTTTTTTCTAATGCCATGTGTCTAGGTTGTTTTTCCTAAGTCCCTAAAACAGACTGGACTACAGGTCTCACATTCCATCCCCTGTCTTTTCATACCATTCTTTAACCACATTCCTCTTTTTCCTTGGTTTTAACACTGCAAGGAGCTACTGACATCTTTATCCAGCAGATGTAAGTGTGCCAAGCTGTCTATATTTTCATGTACCTTCCCTTCTCTCCTCCATTTAGCTTCAGTGATATTATAAATTTTTTAAATCACCAATTGCTTTTTGTCACTTACATGACCCCCAAAATACTTTCTACATTATGTTTGAACTTTAATGCTTTGTATGCAGTCTCAAAGCTAAAGAAGAGGAATGTGCCTGACTGCTTTCAGACAATCTTGGTCCCATTAACTCACTTTGCTTGCCTGTCTATTCTGAGAAGTCCCTTGTTGCTTCCCAATTGTTATCTTTACACATTTCTGCTGTCTGTATTACTGTTTTCTAAGTTTCTCTTTTGTGGCTAAACTTCTTGGCATTTTCTCCCACACCCGTAGTGCGAAAGTGTGCCTTGTTTATGTCCTATCCCTGTACTGCCCTCTGAGTATGTCTTTGCACTTATTTCTTTTGTCTGTGTACTTTTCACATCACCGCCCAATTCAACATCATCTGCACTGACTTTGTTCCATATCTCAACACTCCCCCAGTTATCAGTATGAATGAAAACCTCATTATTTGATAGTCTGTAAGGTGAAGAATTTCCATAGGATACACTTCAATATTTGTCTTCGCTAACAGTCCTTACAACAATTTTCAGTCAGTGCACAGTTATATATATAAAACAGCACAGACTGTCTTACATGTGACCTAAGGAGCTATTAATAAACATCATGAGACAGTCATTGTCCCAGCACAATACAGAGTCTGGACAGAATTACTCTTACTGCGATGTTCATGCGCATCTCTGACCTTGCTGGTTTAAAGCATTGTTTACAGACAATGCAGGTGACAGGTATTTCTAGGGCAAAACTCATCTAACTTATTTTAGATGTCTCCTTTAGGATGTGTTGAATTGTTCACCTAAAGAGAACTTTTAGTACTGTTTCTCTCCACTGACTAGAAACCAAAAATAAGAGTCTGGCACTTGGCTATCAAGAACCTTCTCCTCTACTCTCCTGTGTAAGTAGCTTTTGGAGCATCATGAAAAATAATATAACTGGCTTTTCCAGAAGCACAGTGAAAAGAAACAAAAAGAAGGCGTGATCAAATGTGCCCCTGGTGCAGTTACCCACAACTGAGATAGGTATCACAGGCTCCTTTGCTGTCAGCAGAAGAAAGTGAGCACTTTTAGGAAGCAGGGCATGTCTAATGGATCATACAAGCCATTCCCCAGAAGCTCCTGGTTTTTCCTGCTGGCTGTAGGAGAAGCCTGAGTACCAGCACGGATAGGGATGAAAATTTCACATGTTGAGGACAATTTGGGGCTCACAGTAATATTACGAGGTACCTATTTTTTGCTGTAATAATTCTGAGGGTGACTAACACAAATACAGACCTGCACTGAGAACAGTTGAAGTCAGGAAGCACAAATCCTGCTCTCTGACTGACCCAGACACGGACCATACAGACATGGCAAATTTATGTGCAAGGATTAAGCTGATGGGAGATGTGGGGTTTTTTTCCAGCACTCATAAATTCTAATTCTAAGAGAATTACAAAGTATTTGGGGAAGGCCAGTAGACATGCACAACTTGGGAAAACATAAAAACTGAAAGGGAAAGCCTATAGGCTGCCTACAGCATCTAAATATATAAAAGCTTTTTAGATCTTCAATAGCCAATCCATATTTCACATTAAGGAAAAAGTCAGGGTATCCAGCATGATTTTAGTTTTGACAAACATGGCTGGGGCTACCATACATTCAAAATCACAACTGAAGATAATTCTGCATAGGCCACTAATCTAATAACCTTGCTGGATGTTTGAAAGTCCCATTTGGATTACAATTGTAAAAATGGAAAAATGCAAAATAATTCTGCCTCTTTTGTGGTAGAACATTCAAAGGTGTGCTTTGTGAATGTTTTATAGTTGAATGGCAATGTTCATGAACACCCAAACGAACATTTAAAAAAAAAGGAAAAAAGAATTGTGAGCATAGAATACTCTTTCAAAAATACTATAAAATATATTATTCCAAAGAAATTATGTGATTGTCAGAAACAGTAAAATGCAACTTTGTTATAGCAGTGCAATTGTAGACACTAAAACAGCATTACATATTTTGAATTATTATATATTAGTATTTCAAAATTCTTAGAAAAGTGTGTTATGTCTTCTTGGCATTTTGGTTAAGATCAAGTGTAGTGTAGTACTTTTATTTTTTCCTATTTGGCAGATACCTTTGGTGTTAGGAAGTGTTGGGTACAGTTTAAACTATGTCCAAATGACACAAATAAACCTAGCTTTTACAATCTGCACTGAGAACACTTAAACCAGAATTATATGAAGATTAAATTCCTTGCATGAATGGTTTTTACAAATGAACATCTTCTATGGATTCTAATCATAAGGAGAAAATTTTTTTTTTTATTTGTTCTTGGCAATTTGAATAATTCGAAAGGTTTTAATTTTCCAACATGAATATTGTATGGTACAATTAAGCACTGTGGTTAGCACTCTAATTTAAAAAAGAACGTTTTCTAGTTTACAAATAAATAAAATACAGTTTAATGTATCTGAATCAACAGATGGTGTATGAAAGCATCTAGAATTTTAAGTGTAACTCAAACATCCATCAAGAACACAGAATCATTATAACATAATGCAAGAGATGCTGAAAACATTTAAATACATATAATCTGATTCATTCCCATAATGTATCATTTCACACACATCGTAAATTCAGTTACAGAAAATAATTTAGCTAAATATACTAGTAAGTTTGTGTATTTTAAAGCATTACAAATAAGCATAAAGCATTTAGAAGGTGTAGTCTTCTATATGATAGTCTACTACTATAGTCTCTCTTGGATTGCAGAAAACACAGGAAAGTCCTTGAAACTGGGCCAAATGTGCCTCAGTTGTTCTTTGGTACGTGCAGTAAAAGTAGCTCTGGCTTTTTAAAACACTTTGTTTCTTAAAAAGGGTTCTCTTACCTCTGTTTAGTTCATAAACTATGTGAAAAATATTAACCACAAGAAAAACAAATTATTTATCAAAGAATTGTCACCAAGTGGCCCTGTGCCTAAGCTTAATAATTTGTGCAATACTTGTCATCTCTGTTGTATAGATACTAGCATTACATAGTAGACCTTGAAAATTGCATATTTATAACTTGGTGAATGCAAAAAGCTCTACATTAATCACAATAATACATTCTGTAATATAAGCACAGACTGGAAAATACTGACCAGTAATATAATGTAATTCTAAATGTATTGTTTAATTTTGGGAGATACACTAGAATAATAAATTTTTAATGTGATTTAAGAGGAGAGTTTGCCCTTTTATGTCTCCATTTTGAGAAGTGGGAAATACTCAAATTTCAGTGTGCTTTTTATTAGTGTAAGAATAATTTGAAGCTTATGTGTATATTTATTTGTGGGCTAATACTTGAACAACATGGAGCTGGCAAGAGTGAGCACTATTCTGTTCCTGCACCAACTGCAGTTAAAGCAACTGAATAACAGCAACAAAGGCAACTTTTAATATGTCCAGTTGTTTCTTTCAGTTCATGAAAGTGCATTTTTTCCTAAGCAGAGCTGAAGATCAGCTGTATACTGCTATGCAACATGCTCTCCGAAGCTGTTTTAAATTTCTTAGTCATACAATAACCTGCTAATGTTGCAGTGCAATGATAGCCTTGCTTGTA